TATTACCAGCGAACTACACGCATTTGCAAACAAATTTGGTTTCGTGAGTGACTCACCTAGAACCCAAGTTAGTCTCTCGTTTGTGATGTCCCCAGGCAACTGAATGTGCAACACCAGGCTGCCTCATGTTTCAGTCACTAGGATTTTCAAAACATCTCGATAAATATATGGACGTAATACACCACTCATAAAGTTACTGGAAATTCTTCGACATCTCACAAACGGTTTCGTCCTTCTTGGGGCTCATCAGGCAGGCGCATTCCCCCAGTTTTCGGCCTGGTGCAGCACATCATCCTGTTCATCATCATCATCATCATCATCATCATCATCATCATCATCATCATCATCATCATCATCATCATCGTCATCGTCATCATCATCGAGAGCATGACATCGGTGTCAACACCGATGCTTCACTGCCGTACGGACAAAGCTACTGAACCGTTTGGTTCTCTTAGTGAGCAAAAGGCTGCGTGAAAAAGTGTGCTATGGATTCACATTTTACAAGTTCCGCAAACATCTGGAATGCCAAGTACATGTCCTAACCAGAGTAGTCTATGAAGCAACTAGTCCATTTATCGTGGAAGAGTTCCTTCTTCCATGGCCACCTAGCGTACCTCAGCATTACCTTTCAACTAATACTTCGGAGACACCGATAATCAAACACTGACATCTCTCGTACGTCCTTTGCGTGTAGGGGTCGCGTCTCTGCCTTCTAAAGCAGTATGGATCGGATCGCCGCAGTGTACACTCTGAGATTGACAGACAAACTGATGACATGTTGACGCTATAGGTATCGGAGGTTGGCAAAAGCTGTTCTGGCTTTCCCGATTCGAGAAGTAATCACACCTCCAGCCAGTCCACCGGGACATATACAGCTGTCCAGGTAAACAATTTATCTACCCACATCGATTGACTAGTCTTCGAGCATGGGGTTCGGGTTTGATCTCACCCAATCTTGTAACAGCACTTTACACTTTGCAGGTGTGAAGCGCATTCCAAACCGTGCGCCAGAGTCATTCAGGTTATTTAAAATGGTTTGCATCTTTGAAGGATCTGAACCAAGGAGAGCAATGTCGTCCGCATACTCGATGTTTGTGAGTGAACATTCTGGGAGCATTTTGCCTCTCGAGGTTTCAGAGGTAGGCAGTGAAATTCCAAGCAGTACATCAATAACAAAGTTGAAGAGAAAAGGTGAGAAGGGACACCAGTGGACGTGGTGAACTCAGGCGAAACCTGCCGTATACTCGTACGCGCCCTCAGGAGTTAGCATACAGTGCTCTCATAAGGTATATAAAGTTGGAAGGAACACCTTCTATTACCAGACACTGCCAAAGTTTCTGACCTACTTTTGACGAAATGACGATGTTGCTAAAAGCACAATGTCGATAAGCTGTTCAAAATCACGCTGAACCTGTTCTCATTATGTCACTTTGAACAGCAACATTGAAGGGTTCGTAAATGGAAAAAGTATCTCAAGATTGGATGCTCTTTTAAACTGGTAACCATTTAGCCGCAGCCACCTGTCTTTTGGGAATTCACTGCGAGTTCATTGGTTGCTAAAGCGAGAAAAATTGCGTATGTTTTCGGTCAATTTTCGTCTCCAACCAGACTGTCAATTTCTGTCAGTTTTGCAGTTTAGCTAGGCAGATTTGTTTGTCGTTGAAAGAAGAGCGATTTTGCGGAAAACAACGGATATTTTGTGCGTCGTACGATCGTTTTAGCCCGCCGAAACAGCCAAACTCTGGCACTGATTACTGAAAAGTCTTCTATTGCGATATCTCGAATACCGTACCAAATGAAATATGAGGCGGCTTTTGTGCAGCAAATTCAGTTGAAGAAGACCACAAAAACGAGAGATTTAGTTGAGTATCCTGTGAAAACCAAATTGATCTGCAAAGGAGTGTAGTTGTAGCCATTTTCAGTTCAACAATATTCAGCTTGTAAGTTGGAAGGGATACTTTTGTAGTAGAAATTTCGACAGGCTTTTCGGGTCCATTATTTTGACCGCCCTCATTTTGTTAGGCGCATTCAGCCAAGTGGCGTCTTGAAAGGTAAACGTCATCAAACGTAGACTTGACAGCAGCAAGGTAATGATATCGCTGTCTGCCCCGCTGAGCAAAGGGATCGTGACAGTGAACTCATTCACTCGAGCAACTACCATGCTGAAGGCCGAATGAACTTCTTCGAAGTTTTGTTTGCTACAATTAGATTACCTGTATTTTTGGCCGGTGCTAAGTCCACCCGATGATAACAGAGTCATGCTGGGGTTTGTTTATTTGATTTTGTATCTCGTGAATCATTCAGATATACCTTACCTATACAGTTTTGCTTTCTCACGAGTGGACAAAACGGTGCGACCGCCCATTTGATTACAATCAAATGGGATAAAAACTTCAATAAAACATTTTATGTTGGGGAGAGGGGGTTGGTTACCATTTGCGAGATGTCGGTTCTTGCAGTTTGGAAAACATTCCGCTTATTTGGGGATAAGTTATGGACAAGTCTTCTCAGAGACGTCACCATCACATGGAGAAGGCCTGGGCCATGAGGACTCACCTTTGTTGCGTCATCATTGGTGAATCCGGAGCACTCGTTAGAAATCAAACGAAAAAGTCCGTCCGATCCTGCGGAAGACGATCGGAAAAAAACGGGGGCACAATTGAAATTCTGTCAACTCAGAGCTCCTGTCAATCATCTAAACCGATTCTAAATTGCCCAGAAGCTATTTCCTCAAAGGGAGGAATTTTCTCGAACCGCTGAATCTGTCTCCTTCAGAGCTAGCATTATTTCACGCTGGCTGGGTTGTTAATTAGGAAACAGAATATTAAAAACACTGAAAAAAGGTTGAGCTGATCTTCAAGTTGAAAGACAATCTGATATCCTACGTTGAAAGCCACTGTGTATCAGTGTTCGAGCTTATCAGCTCGCAAAATTCATACTGTATGTTGTTTGATCCAAAATATGCCTTGGTGTCAACGACAGTGCCAGGAGGTTGACCATACCATGAGTTGCTTAGTATGTCTTCTCATAAGGAATTAAAACGTGTACACTTTCTTCTACGGTTCATCTGAACCATGATGGTTGTAGCTCTGCTTTAATAGGCAGGGGGCTTAAGAGTGGATTTTACTGCCTGTTACTTGCAGTGGATTGCAAGAAAACGTGTGCTCTGAGACGTGAGTAAATGTCACTCGACCAATAACTGATCGATATATTGGTCGGGTCGATAATATGATATTAGTGTCTACTAGTCTGGGTCGAAATGAGAAAAAACTTGTACTGTAAAGATGATAACCACAGAAATACTCTGGTAAAATAATCTCTCGTCTAGAAGGGATGGCTTTTTTGCATAATACTCACATTCCTGGCAGTAATTTTAAGAGGAGGACACAAGATGAAGTACTGCGACAAGTACACTCATTTATAAATCACTGGTTTTCACGGGAGACTCATAGGGATCTCTCGTTTTTATGATATTCTTCAACTGAAGATGCTGCACAAAGGCTGCCTCATGTTTCAGTTGATATGATATTGGAGATATCGAAGTATATTATCATAAAAGGAGACTACTCACAAGGTCGAGGGATTCGTGTCAGGGCGCTCCCAGACAGAAGAAAAAGCACATGTGCAGACAGTGACGCATCCCCAAGGTCACCATCGGTTCGACACGTCCGGAAAGTAGGTGAGTCGGCGGCTCCCACGAAACACGTCTTAGCAACACACGACCAGCGTAGTGGGCCTGAGAATGTTCACGACCGGAACACCACCATTGGCTGTACGGAACGAACAAGCGAACGACCATATTTGGCCAGTTATTCATCCCATATATTCACGCAGACGCTCTGTATGTTTTGTCCTGGCGATACAACCGCGTGCCGAGTTCTCTGTCTCCTCCTTATCGCGTAGTTTGGCAGGCTCAGTGCAGGCGTAACCAATAGCTCGGCCACCGCACAATACAACAGTTCGCAAGTGACTTGGAACAACGGGATCACATAAGTCAACTTGTCAAACTGAACAGAATACGGACCGTGTGCCTGCACAAAGTGGCTCTTCATGCCCTTAATCATTCCTGTTTAATAGTGAAACACATTCAGCTTTCTCTCCAGTTCGTTTTCTTTTACAACTTGCGTAATTACAGAATCGTTGGCGGTTATCCGAAGCGACTTAGCTAGAAATGACTCATGAAAGCCTGTCCTAGCCCACTATATTTTCTAAGCACGTTTCGAACTCACTTGGTCTCGTACTTTGCAATAGGACTCCGTTTCAAGTATTTTAGTTCACTCAGTATAGTATTAGAGGAAGATATTCAACCAAGCCTTTTTCAACTCCTTCAGCGATGATGTCTGTGATGTCTTGGGCGTCTGTTGCCCAGGAACGATGCCGAAACCACCAAAAAACCCTACACCATAGCTTTGTTGCCTCGGGAAACAACTGAAAACCTGGCCCAATGGGGTCAAAGGCGTACTAAAACGGCTCTGTTTACCGAGTCCGTCACTGGACCCGGCACCGGATGGCGGTTTGGGTAACCAGGACGTCATTCTGGGTGAGCTAAAAGTCCAGCAACTTCTGACAGGGCTAACCACCCTGTTTGGTTTCGGTGTGCCAGTTTCTTTCAACGATGTGCACTGTGAATTAACTGATAGCTCCACACTAGGAGAGACTCGTGGCACCCACGTGTGAGGAATGTGCTGTAAATCGAAAGCTGGCTTGGTAGCCAGCCGTCGAGTTCACGTCAATGAAAGTGAGAACACAAACGGTGTCGCCCAGTTGGCTTGCTCTGAGTATTTACGCTTTTTTCTACGATAATTGACCTGAGTCAACACCACCGGCACGCACACCCCACCTAGCATAATGCAGACAAGCTTGGCTGGTGTCCGCTGGTCCCAACAGGAATAAGAACCACTCTCGCATCTGGCTAACAATCTCCGTCTGTCTTGTGATACAAAAACCTCACTGTTCGTCAGATTGGAGCAGTATTTTCCTGATCGATCGTCTATCAGCTTCAAAACCAGGTTACGGGTGTTCAACTGGCAAGCACAACGGGACGAATCATCTTCTGGTGGCTCTGAGCAAGCCATCGGTCAAATGACGGCCTACTCGTCAGAAGCCGATGACTACAGCGTCTGGTTCAAACCGTGGATTGCGGTGTGTCATTATTGGAATCCCTTGCGGACAGTTTGCTTACTAGTGTTGACCTTCTGGCATTTGCCCGAGGGTTACAGTCTGGCATCATGACACCGGAGCAAGTCCTGTCACTTTTGGACCTCCACACCTCCAAGACATCTCCACACATTTGGAAAACTGTATCCCGACGTCGTCGTCAGATAGCCCATCGGGTGCCGGTCAACCGAAAACAGATCCGCCCAGCCAACTACGCCGCTATCCAGACTCTATACCACCAAACACGGAAAGATGCAACGTCTGCTGTGCTCAGTGGGTCTAGGAAGGATCTATACAAAAGTAACTGGGGCCTACCTCTGGACACCGTGCAGTATTGGAAACACGTGGATAGCTGGCTAAGTCGCACAGCCAATTACAGGCGAGGAAGCCGACTGTACGATCCGTTTAATGGGTACTTCGTCCCCAGATCTGGATGAACTCATGCTCAGGATGCTTCACCGGTTCAATTCCAACGCCTTCGCCGGGTATTTCAACTCGGCTGCATCCGAAGGGTGTAACACCACCACCGACGGAAGATAACGAAGCCCTGCCATAGACCTAGCTGCGTTGATCAGCGTTGCAGCGCGCGCAACAGGAAAAGCTGAGTAAGGTCTTGGGGCTTCGGAACCCAAGGTGTTTTCAGCCAACTGGTCCAGTACCTTTTGAACAGACAAGTACTGACAATGTTCTGGCTACTTTATCAAGAAGCATCAGTGTACATGTGTCTAGGTTCAAATACAAAGCCGAAAAAGTATTTTGATGGGGATCGAATATACTGCAGATATCCTATTTTCGGTTCAGTACGGTTAGCATTGAGATTCGAAAGCATCCGGGCATTTCAAATCTAAAATTCAAGAAAAAGTTAATCGTTCTGTTGTTCTTGTGCTGAAGAGACAATGGTCAGTGAACTAACATGGCTCAAGGTGTACAAAAGTGGATGAACTCTGGACAAATTACTTATTCAATCTGATACCAGTAAGCCGATTCAGGTGAAGGAGAGATCTACTCTCATCAGTATCAATGTTTGCGGTAAGGAGGTTGCGACGTTTCGAATTTTAACGTTGGGTGACGAGCGGTCCCCTAACGATCTCAACACGATAGGACGTTCGGGCTAATCCGCCCAACCAGATGTTAGGTAGAAACGCAGAAGATTTCATTTCTGAATAGCGGTTGCAACTGCACACCAGATAACGGGGCAGCCCACTGTTCGACGGGCCAAAACGAATGGCGGACGGCACACGTCCTACTAGGGTAGATGCGACAGAAGGTCATATCCAAAAGTGGACATGTCCGTGGTTAGTCAGCACGTCGAAACCCGAAAGGTCAAGGAGAAAGGGCAGACAAAAATCGTTTGGCTATCAGGGAGAACAGCCTGCTCGATGCGGGTGTAGACCCGAGCATTCACTGCTGGACATGCCTAAATAAATCTTAAATCAGGCGTTACCCAAAAAAACACTTGAAAGGACACGGAGAAACAGGTTGGGGCTAGTTGATAAAAGGTGGGAGTAGATGCGATTTGGCAAAAAATCCGTACCAATAGAGAGGTTATATACGGTGGAGATTACCGACAACAGATCTGACACCTGCTGAAATGTGATGTGTCTGTTTGCTCTTATCGTAGAGGATACTCACGTGCAACACAATGAGTCCTCGCTGGAACCATGCGAACATGTTGTTGGAGCGTCCGTACACTCAGTGATTTTGCCGATTCACTGTATATGTGCTCAAGGCACACATTTTCCATAGCCTAGGAACGACCGTCTGTATCCCGGGCAGCAGGGAACCGAAGGCACAACGAGGACGACAATGGGCTAAAGTTCCGCGAAAGCCAGCGGGCACCTGTAAGTAATATCGGTTTCATTGGCGATGCTCATATAGAGAGGATACATGGCGATCTTGGTTAGATACCCGCACCGAAGCTGACGGACGATGAGGTGACGACGAGGAACGATGGTGACAGCAATTTTTTCGTTCTTTGCGGAACAGGAGTGACTCACGGGTGAGGAGTGCTGGGTAGTAACACGAATCTGTCCTAACTAGTGACCGGAAGTTACTTGCTCCTTGTCATTTTGAGGATGTGATTGATGACTTTATCATGCTCAGATTAGTGGGCAATCCCAACTTTTGCTATAAAACAACCGGCTGAACTTGTTGCTTCACCGACTACGCAACGAGTATCGCATTTTGAAAAGAACCATTTTTATGGGTCTGCCGTCAAGACCAAAACATAAATTAATTGAGCGTTCTTGTTTGAAAAGTGAAAAAACCAGACATCAAGAGACGTGAAAAGGATATTTCACGACATTCCATAAAAAATCGTCAAACCAGCGCCTAAGAGCCTGTGATTGATGTTCACCATTCCCATTTCCATATGCGTCAGATGACTCATCGCATGAGTCATACCCATTGTCAATGTCCTAATCTTGCTGGTCTCGCGACGCCATATCACCAGCCTCTGAGCTACAAAAATATTACACACCATTTTGTTGGGAGACGTGAAAGTGTGACCAGAACTGGGGGGAAAGAAACAACCCAAAAACACCATTTTTATCCTAGTTGCAGAAACATAGACACTAGCTGAGACGAAGGTCAACAAGAGCCTTTTTGGGAAACCGAAAATCAAAGGATACGTTGCCATGGGTAATCAGGGTTTGAAATAAGGCGCCATAAAGGATGGTGAACTTTTTTGCTCCCACACAGGAACAGTCGTGAGCTTTCCACACTCTTCAGGTCTCCGACGGTATATTTGAATCACACACTCAACCGTAGAAGAGACCGACAAATTAAAGCCAGGAGAAATGGCGTGGGGGTCTTCTCCAGATAAGCCCCGCCAACCAAAAAAGGCTAGAAAATGGAGGGTGAAATTGGGATATGTCATTACTAATTTGCATGAAAAAATCCGTTTTCCGCTAATTTTGTCTGGATTGTGTCCATCAAAGTGGCCGCAGTTCGATCTGGTACTGCATACATGAACAACTCTTTAGTGTCCCGGCAGATCCCTCCGAAAATACACTGCTGGGAAAGGACTCGTCCCACGTGGCTTCTCCGGGGGGAGATTTGGGGTTCCTC